AGAGGCCCCAAGAGGCCCACAAGAGGTCCCCAGGAAGCCCGAAGAGGCCCGCCCCCAAGAGGCCCCAAGATTCCTCCCCACAGGCCCCCGAGAGACTTCCGAAGAGACCCCAAGAACCATCCCTGAGGACTCTGGCCAACGTCCGCGTCGTCGTCGTTGCCGCCGCCGCCGCCGTTGTCGTCGTCGTCGTGGTCGTCGTCGTCGTCGTCTCCCTTCAGGGTCGGCGGCACTGGCCGTTTGGCGTTCGCAAGAAATACACACAAATCCAAGGATTCCCCATATTTTCCACATTTTCTGGAGTTTCGTCTTCCCCCCCGCTTCCCACACTTTCCCATATTTTCCTGGGAATCGACGATTAACTATGTCTGTGTTTTTTCCCCTCCTGAACTCTACTTGTCGGCGACAACCCAGGTAATCCAGTGGATGGGGGGGGACAACCGATTGCCTGACTGTTTCGCTCTGGGCCGCCCCACATATGCCCGCGCGCACCCATGCTGCGCTCCCCCGTCGCACCGGCGCAACCGACAAGGTCAGGTTATCTGGAGGGCTCGGGGGCGGGGGGGGAGGTCAGGCGGGCCCGATTGCCCAGGTGATCGCTGGACCCGGAACAAAAACAGCCTCAAGAGGGGCGCACGAGTCTGGTGATGCTCCTTTCGGGGGCGACGACGGGGGCGAATGCAGCCCAAAGGAGGAGCCATGCCTGGGGGACGCCGGAGGCCCATGTCTTCGGCGAGGCTCCCGGGCAAATACGTGGTACTGTGCCTGCCCCATTGGGCTCCTCGCCCCCTTCGGTGGCAGCTCGCGGGAGCCTCCCATACCCTCTTGCTGGCTCTTGCGAATCGACGCTAAATCGCCGCTGAATCGACGCTCAATCGACGCTAAATCGACGCCAAATGGACGCCAGATCAGCAGCTCATCGACTCCCGGACGCCCATCGACGCTGGTGCACTCGAGAGACAGAACTGCGAGGGGGCACCCCCTGAGGCTCCCACGCTCTGCTGCCCAGCTATCCCCCCTCGTCTCTCGGGAGCGGCCCAGAGGGGGGTGTCCAAGAGGGGGGGGGTGCAGATCATGACCGGCGGCAGGTGCGCGGCCCAGCGGGGGGGGGGCCAGGGACGCCATGAGATGAGAAGAGGCGCCCTGAAATCTGGGGAAGCATCATGGCCCACGCCATGATATCCACCCCCCCCTAATCATCACCCCCCTCTTTTCCGCCCCCGATCATGGCCGGAGGTTTTTCGCAACTTTCGGCCCCTGGGGGCCCTTACCGGGCCTCGGGGCCGTCAGAAAACGACCCGGGATGAAAAGCCTGTCCTGTGGAATAGGTCGAAACCTCTGGGGGTCGAAACCTCTGGGGGTCATCACCCCCCCTCTTTTCCGCCCCCGACTCGTCGCCCCCGCGGTGCCTGCACCCCGGCCCCCCCCCCCCCGGGCATGGCGCCGAGGCCGCCGGCGCAGAAGCACAGCGCCCGCAGCAGGGGGCCCTGCAGCCGCAGCAGGGGCCCCCAGAGGCAGAGGGGCGCCGCGTCGAGGCACGCGAGGGGCGCCGCGGCGAGGCAGCCCGCCTCCGGCGGGTGGGCGGGGCCGAACTGGGCCCGCGCCCGGAGCACCTCCTGGTGGGGCGCAGATCGGCGGCGAGCGTCCTCCTCCTCTTCTCCTCCTCCTCCTCCTCCTGCTCCTCCTCCTCCTCCTCCTCCTCCTCCTCCTCCTCCTCCTCCTCCTCCTCCTCCTGAGGAGGAGAAGGCCTTCTCAGCAGGCGGCGGGGGCTTCGCAGAGGCCCTCGGGCCTTCTGAGAAGTGGTCCGCGTCTTCGGGGAAGGCTCAGGCCACTTCGCGGGAGGCCGTGGGACTTCCGAGCCTTCTGGGAAGGCCTTCTCCTGCTTGCGTCCCCCCCCCCCGGCTCGCCGCCGAGCAGAAGGACCTGCCCAGACCCCCCTCGAGTCAGGAGAGGATCACGGCGGAAAGTTTTTCCGCCACGTCCGGCCTTCTGGGCCCCTTTCCCGGCCTCGGGCCAGCAAAAAACGGTTCGGGTTGAAGAACCCGTCCCGGAAAAATGGGTCGAGATCTCCAGGGGTCGAAGCGTTCCTAAAAAAATGATGAGAAATGGCGTCGGAGGTCTAGGTACTGGTGCTACGTGCTGACGTCGGAGGCGCACGTCCGACACGAACACAGATAGCACACCCCAAGTCTTGCAGTGTATGCCGTTTCCCAGGCGGCATGGCCAGAGAGCGCTCGGCATGGAGCTCGGAGCGTAGGACTTCTGAGCGTGCGCGTCGCCCCTGGCGTTACGCCGGGCACGTCCCTCTACAGGAGGAATATTCAAGCATAGTCGAAAAATAGCATGGGGACGGTTTTTGACTATTTCTGATGTTTTTGCAATTATTTTGCATGTCTTGTATTTTTCGTCCAAAATCCGCCTGCAGGGGGACGTGCCCGACCCGACCCTTGCGGGGCCCACGCACACCTAGTACAAGCATCTGTGGGTGGTGCCGATCCTGCTCCGACAGCAGCGCCGCGTGGCAGAGCGCGAAGAGGGGCAGCAGGCCAATCCCCCAGGCGAACACGGTCGCCCCGAGCAGGAACGCCAGCGTGTTCTTCTCCTCCGCCGGCCAGAAGAACAGGCCGTACAGCAGCTTGAAGCCCGTGAACAGCATGGCGACCAGCCACGTGCTCATCTGTATGTGCGACCATGCGATGCCCACCATCGGAAGCAGCGACCGCAGGGCGAGACAGATGAGCCGCCCGACACGGACGTTGCTAGGCTTCGACCTGCCGGTGAAGATGGCGAGGGGCAGTGCCGAGAAGAAGTAGACCAGCTCAAACAGGCCCTCAGCGTGCAACTGCATCACATCCAGCGAGCCCCTGCAGCGCAGCGCGGGCAGGAAGATGGGCTGCACCGAGGAGCGCCCGATGGTCGACAACCAGCACTTGCTCCAGATGCCCGAATTCTGCATCGAGAACTGGCCTGCGCTGTGCAGCCGCGCGGACTGCTCCGGCTCCCAGCAGTCGTCCACGGCCTGCAGCAGCGACAGCGGCAGCGAGCACGTGGACCCTGGCAGCGGGACGGCCAGGGGGTCGGCGAGGCTGGCCAGCTGGCTCTGCGAGAAGAAGAGGGAGACATGCCGCGCCACGGTCGACTGCTCGTGGTAGTCCGCGAGGAAGAGCACCGGCGGCTGCCAGATGGTCCTGCTGCGCTTGCTGCCGGAGGCCAAGAAGGCGAAAGTCAGAGCACTGAAGTAGTTCCTGTCGAAGATCGTGTCCACCGTCGTGTATGTCACCAGCACCAGTCGGCTGCGCAGTCCTTCGCGCCTGGCGGCCTCCAGGAGCCGCCTGATGACGCGCGAGCGCACGCTCTCCTGCCCGACTGCCGCTGGGGCGTCGGCGTTCGTGGCCAGGTACTCCGGCCTCACCTTCCAGATGCGCCTGTCGAACAGCCTGCTGAAGTCGGAGACCGCCCGGTCGTGCGACGAGGCCATGTCCATGGCCACGAAGAAGACCTCCACCTGCGAGGCGGCCATGGGCGAGGAGGCGATCGAGCTCAGCAGCGTCCTCGCCTTGTGCCGCAGCTGCCGGCTGCTGGGATCCGAGAGTCCCTCGACGACCACGAAGTGGCGGATCGCCTCTCCCCAGTGCTCCACGTCCTCGTCGCTGGACGAGGAGGAGTCGCGGCCCCACGGGTCGCCGACGAGCACGGCGCGCCCCCCTCCCCCTGTCACCTTCGTGCCCTTCCTCCTCGCCACCTTCCGCTGCCGCCCCGAGCGCAGGAGCTGCTCGTAGTCCATCGCCATGCACATCTTGACGCGGTGCCTGGCCACGCTGGCGAACACGACAGTCCGCAGGCCGCCGCCGCACACGACCACAGCGGTGAAGTACCCCAGCGCCTTCAGGGTGTGCTGCGGGCCAACGCCGCAGACCAAGTTAAACAGGAAGCAGACGGGAACGATCGCCACGGCGAACATGGGCAGGGCGCTGCCAAGCTTGGCCCACAGCTCGAAGGCCGAGCGGCCTTCTCCCTTGGGCAGCCGGACCCGCAGCTTGGGGTACTCCTGCTCGGGGTCCAGCATGGCGCCCTCGGAGTGCTCGTTGACCAGCTCGAGCAGCGGCGTCGCCGCGAGGGGAAGCTTGTCCACGGTGCCGTGCTCCCGAGGGTTCAGGCGTGCCGTCGGAGGGTGTGGCGGGCGGATATCGGGCCCCGCGGGCTCCTTCAGGGCCTGTGGGAGCCCGATCGCGGCGGGCTCGGCACAGATGCACAGGCTGACCAGGAGCAGCAGCGAGAGGTGGGCGGCCAGGAAGGGCAGGAAGAGTCCGGGGCGGTCCAGGGTTTTCCAGTTGCCTGCCAGGATCATGCGGAGCACCGTGGCCGTCGAGAACGCCACCGTGCTGGAGAGCGGCACGAAGAAGCGGCAGTCGTAACGGCGGCAGCCCTCGACGCTGAAGTAGAGGCAGAGCATTCCGCAGCAGATCAGCGCAACAGTCCAGAAGTTCCCGAATTGCAGCAGCGGATGCCAGGCGGAGCAGTTCGGAAAGCCAACGTAGCCCACAAAGTACATGGCACCCGAAACCAGACCAGAGAGTATCGGGAGCGGCTGCAGGCCTCGCTTCACCGAGCTGCTGGAGCGGCAGCAGAAGAGCAGGAGGCAGGCGAGAAACACAAAGCACCAAAGAGCGGCGCACCAGATCACCGCCGGGGTGCGGATCGTCTCCGACTCCCACCGCGGCGCGCCCTCGCCGACGACGCTCAGGTCGAACTCCAGGATGACGACCACCAGGACCACACAGACGAGCGCCACGAGCACCTCGCGGCTGTGGTACTGCTCCCTCAGGAGTGCCGGCCCGGCGGCCATGTTTGTGAGGAACGTGAAGCACGGAGGCGGCCGGGGGGTCCGAACTGGACGGGCCCCGAGAAGATCGGACAAGAAGGGGGGCCAATGCAAACCCGCTCAAAATCGGTCCCCGGACCCCTCCCGGGGTCCATCCCGTGCCATCGTGTTTTTCACGCTCCCCGGGGCCCGAGGACGGCCCCTGGAGGCCGAGAGAAGCACAAAACGTCCTCGAGCCCAGCATCTTGAACCTCGCCCCCCTTCCTGCTAGCCTACAACAGTGCTGGGCCACCTCCGACCCCCAGCCGGCTCCGGGGGGAAGCCCAAGAAGACGGGGGCCACGGTGGTGTCCGGCGCGCAGCAGCGCGCGGCCCACCAGACCTGGCAGGCCAGGGTCCGCAGCAGCACCGCCTTCCAGAACGACAGCCGCAGCAGCGGGCGCCACCTGGCCGCCTCCTGGGAGCAACCAAAACAGGGCCCCTGACACTTTGGGAGGGGTCCTAAGCTACGATTGCCAACAACATCAGGGATAGGGGGTCTTCTCTGCAGACGCTTCGAATCACACCGCCGAAAGTTATGGCATGATCCCTGATACGAAGCGAAGACGGGGACCTCAGTGACGCCACGTCTTCACTATGTTATTAGGGTTCAGGGTTTTTCGGGGGGGGGGTCCCAAGACCGTGTGGTGACAGACCCGGCGGTGACCTTGAAATCCCCAGAAACCTTACCGCAGGGTCCATCACCACACGGTCTTGGGACCCTGGAGGCCCCACTCGCCCGAGACATCCTCGGAGAACGACCCAAGTCCCAAAACGGTGCGGTGACCCCGAATCCCCACCGACTCACCACACGATGTGGTCACCACCCCGTTTAGGGACCCCAATTTTTTGTCCTCGACGATCCTTGCCGCGCCGGAGCACCGCGCGCACGCCCACCATCCCGAGGGTGTGCAGCACCGCGGCGACCTGCGCCAGCAGCGAGCCCCAGACCTGGAGGCGCAACGACGGGAGGGACCGTGTTCCGGGACGCACAAAGAGCTACTAGTACTATGTGTCCTCCGCGGAGGCGCGCGTCCGACCCGAACATATAGTATACCCATAGTGTACTGCATCGTTTCCCGAGCGGTGCGGCCAGGAAGCGCCCGCCACGACGCATACACTAAGATTTCTCGGTGTGCGCGTCGCCCCTGGGGGGGGGGGGGGGGCGACGCACACATGGTATTAGTATGTTGGGGTGACGCCGATGTCTCGCCCAGGGGGAGGGGGCGAGGACTTGCCAGCGGCGACGCGACGCCGACGCATCGGCGGCGAGGCCCCCCGAAGGCACGACGGCAGGCCTCTCAAGGGGGGAGGGGGGCGAGGAGGAGCAGCAGCCGCAGAACGGCGGAGCAGGAGCACGAGGAGGGCCGCCGCAAACGGCGCCCCCCCTCCCCGCCACCCCCGCTGGACGCGGCGCCCGCCGAGACCAACCACGCTTTTAAGTCAGCGGCGCCGAGGGCCCCCAGGCGCGGAGCCGCAGATGGAAGTGCCAACTGCCACCGAGCATTGTCGATAGCGCAGCTTAGCAGCGTCGCGCACTGCAACGTGCAAGCGATGGATGCGTCAGGGAACTGTCATAGAGGCCTCCTGGATGGGATCCGAGTAGATGGGGTCGGAGTATCTCGCCGCATCGGCGATGCACTGGCGGCGTCGCCGATCCACGTCGGCGTGGAGAAAAATGCATTGCCGATGAGGCGCGATCCTCCGACCCCATCTACTCCAACCCAATATGAGAGGCCTAGATATAAGTCAAAAAGAAGAGACCAACCACACACGGCACTGCCCCCCGAGGGACCCAGCTCACGCCCTGTGGCGAGGCGCCTGCGGGGGGGACCCAGACCCCTCCTCTGCCTCCTCCTCCTCCTCCTCCTCCTCCTCCTCCTCCTCCTTTTCCTTCTCCTCCTCCTCCTCCTCCTCCTACTCCTCCTCCCTCCTCCTCCTCCTCCTCCTCCTCCTCCGCCTCCTCCTCTCCTCCTCCTCCTCCTCCTCCTCCTCCGTTTCCACCTCCTCCTCCGCTTCATCCTCCTCCTCCTCCTCATCATCCTCCTCATCCTCCTCCTCCTCCGCCTCCTCCTCCTCCTGCTCCTCCTCCTCCTCCTGCTCCTCCTCCTCCTCCCCCATCCTCCTCCCCCCCCCTCCCCCTCGCCTCCTACTCCTCCTCTCTCCTCTCCTCCTCCTCCTCCTCCTCCTCCTCCTCCTCCTCCTCTTCCTCCTCCTCCTCCTCCTCCTCTTCTGCTTCTTCTTCTTAGTAGTTGTAGTATTCTTAGCATTCGTATTATTATTAGTATTAGTATGAGCATTAGTATTACGACTACTATTATAATTGCGATTAGTATTATTAGTAATACTAATATGTTCATTAGTATTTATAGGATGAGTATGCATCGTGTTGCTAGTAGCATGATTAGTCGTATTATTCATACGTCTAGTAGTAATAGTATTATCAGTATTATTACCATTAGTAGTAGTAGTAGTAGTAGTAGTAGTAGTAGTAGTAGTAGTAGTAGTAGTAGTAGTAGTAGTATGATTAGTAGTATTAGTAATAGTAGTTGTAGTAATATTATTATTCAAAAAATATTATTACTATTATTATTAGTATTAGTATTAGTAATATTAGTAGTACTGGTATTATCATTAATGATAATAATAATAATACGAATAATAATAATAGTAATAAGAGTATTGTCAGTATTATTAGTACTAGTAGTATTAATATTGTTATTAGTGTTATTATTATTACTATTATTAATAGCACTATTATTATTAGTAGTAGTAGTACTGGTATTATTAATAGTCGTAGTAGTAGTAGTAGTAGTAGTAGTAGTAGTAGTAGTAGCCGTCGTCTTCTTCTTGGTAATCCTATTATTCGTAATATTAACATTTTGGAAAGGTTCATTGATAGTAGCATTATGCGTATTATGTTTCTTAGTATTCATAGTAGTATTCTTATTAGTATTATGATTATTGGTATCATGAGTATTATTATTATTATTCCTATTAGTTTTAGTCCTCCTCCTCCTCCTCCTTCTCCTCATTCTCCCCCTCCTCCTCCTCCTCCTCCTCCTCCTCCTCCTCCTCCTCCTCCTCCTCCTCCTTTTCATCCTCCTCCTCCTCCTCCTCCTCCTCCTCCTCCTCCTCCTCGAGTGGCCGAGGACCCAGACACACGGCCCTGCCCCCCGAGGGACCCAGCTCCCGCCCTGCGGCGAGGCGCGCGAGGGCGCCCCGGGCGCGGACGCGCCGCCCGGCGGCGCGGGCTCTGCGCGCGGCGGCGCTGGCGTGTGGCGCGCCGGCGGCGGCCACTGGATGCCGCCCGGCAGGTAGGGGTTGCGGCGCCTGCGCCGAGGAGCAGAAGCCCAGACGTCCGGCGTCTCGAAGAAGTCGAGACGGAGGTGTTGCGTCGTCGTCGGCCCCTCGGGGCCCTTGTCGGGCTTCGGGGCCGTCCAAAAATTGCTCGGGATGAGAAGCTGTTCCCGGGGAAGTGGTCGACAGGTTTGGGGCCCGCGTCTCAAAAAAGTCGAGACGCACAACGTCTGGGAACAACGGCATACGCATAACTTGGATCGGAGCTCCGCACAGACTTTCGGAGCTCCGCGGAGCTCTGATCAAAGTTATGTCTGACTTTCGGAGCTCCGCGCGGAGTTCTTGGATCGGTGCAGGGCCCAGCGCATATCCATGGAATCCGCGCGGACCGTCGAAAGTTTCTGTTTACGCAGTTGCTTCTTCTTCTTCTTCTTCGCCTGTGGGAGGAGGTCTCGTTGCTGCGCTTCGTGGTCGGCAGGCCGAAGCGGTCTCGGGACTCGCTCTGGCCGCTCTGGCGGTCTCCTCACAGAGAGAAGGTAAACCTGAGAGGCCCGCTTCTGCTCGCGCCCTGCCTAAGGCCAGCTGCGCCCTTGGTCGTGGCAACTACACGCCCTGCTTGTGCCCTGCCTGCGCCATCCGTGCCACACCTGCAGCGTCCCGTAACTCCGCGATAACTGCGAGAACGGTAAGCAACCCTCTACGCATTGCTCCCGACCCCACACTCATACCTCTCCTCTCCTCCCTATCCACCTCCTGCTCCTTCCCCATCCTGCGGCGGAGGGGGAGGGAAGGGGCGTATGAGTTGCGCACGGGTGCGTTTTGCCCCTCCGTCCTGTGCTTCCACTGGTTCGGCTGGTTCGGAGGCGCGACATGTTGATCCTGTGCGAGTCGCGCAGCGCCAGTTCAACGTTCCTGCGCGAGTCGCGCTGCGCGGAGGCAGACCCATGAGCGAGCGGCAATGCCGACTCGTAGGACCTCAGAGCATTGGCCATGTTCCTGGGCAGCACACCCTCCCCCTCGTCAGAGCAGAAATGCTGCCGTTGACACCGGACGTGAAGGCGCCGGCTAGACACCGACACACTCGCCTAGGCCGGGCCGAGCCTGGGCCTGCCCAGGGATCGGTGTCGGCGTGTAGCAGGTGTCACCAAGAAGGGGAGATAAAAAGAAGGGGGGGAGATGTCATAGTTCGCCAACGAATACACCTATAGTTGACGCCATTCGAGGACGAGAGCGCCGTTCACTGAGGGAGCATGCCCGCGGCGCCAATTTTAGCACGGGGCGGTCGAGGTTGGAGGGAATGGAGGAGAAGGAGGAGGAGTGATGAGGGGAGGAGCGAGAAGTGAGGGAGGGGGAGTGAACGGTGCGTATGGGGTTGAGGAGGGATGAGGAAGGCGGAGGACAAAGGGAGGAGGAGGAGGAGGAGGAGGAGGAGGAGGAGGAGGAGGAGGTGTGTGAGGGAGGAGAGGTGAAGATGAAGAATGAGGAGGAGGGGAGTGATGATGATGATGATGATGATGAGGAGGAGGAGGAGGAGGAGGAGGAGGAGGAGCGAAGAGTGGAGGGGGGGAGGGGGGGCGAGGCGGGCGGGGCTACAGCAGAGTGCGCCGAAGAGGGGGCTCGGGAGGAGGAGGGGTGGCGAGGGGGGCAGGGGACGCATTGAAAGAAGAAGAAGAAGAAGAAGACGAAGAGGAAGAAGAAGGAGTTGTGGCATGTGGGAGATGTCGCCCCAGCCATGAGGTCCACACACCCCTAATTCTCACCCAACCCTCTCGGACGTCCCCGAAGGATTCGGAGTGGCTAGAAGACCGCGGCGGCGACCACGACGACGACCCGGCACGTTCGAGCCTCGCGGGGGTCGAGCCTGCTGGCCCTGGGAGCCAGATTATTTCGTCCCGGGTCGGCGTCGCCCCCCGACGGCCCTCCTGCTGGGGCCCGAGGGCGGCCTCCAGGGGCCGAGGATGCTGGAAGGCCGCGGCCACTGCAGCCGCCCTGGCACCACGAGGAGCGCCAGACGAGGAGCGCAGGGGGGGGCTCTGCTGGCCACTGCGAGCCGCGGCGCCGCAGAGGCTCCCCGAACCGGATCTACCGAAGGACGGGTGACGGTGACGCTTGGGCGGGGTGAGCACGCGAGAGCCGCAGCATAACCGTGAGCAGCACAACATGCCGTCGGGCACGAGCAAGTGTGGGGGGGCCCAGCACCCCCCACACACTTACGATCGTTACCGTTACCTGGGGGGGGAGCGGGTAACGACCGTGACGCGCCGAACGAACAAGCCATACGTCACTGGCCGCGTGGGCAAAAGCATGCGTCCAGGAAGGAGGAGGAAGGAGAAAGGAGCAGGAAGGAGCAGGAAGTACAGTAAGAACTAGTTATGCGCAAGAGGGCTCTCTCCCCAACATAAACTCATCCTACGCCCCAAGACCGTCTGACATGTCCACCAGGCATCCGTGACATGAGCACTCAGCCAGTGCAGAGTGGTCGTCGCCCAGAAGGTGGTTGAAGCTCTCCATGAGAACACAAAGAAACAAGGAGCAACAAAATCATCCCGGCAAAGCAACCTAACAGCGATGTGTATAAGCATATCTGGAAGCATCCCCCTTAAGATTCAGGTGAGAATCCAGTTGTAGAATTCTGCTGTTCTCGCAGTCGCAGTCGCATTCGCAATGACAGTCGCAGTGGCAACGGCCTTAGGATCCAATGGAATCCTAAGGATTCCTAGGGATCCCTAAGGCATCCTTAGGCATCCTCAGGAATCCATAGGAATCCTTAGGAAACCATAGGAATCCTTAGGAATCCTGATTCCTAGGGATTCCGAGGGATTCCTAAGGATTCCTAGGGAATCCTAAGGATTCCGAAGGATTCGCCTGCCTCGGTCTCAGCCTCAGCCTGCCTCAGCCTCAGCCTCAGCCTGCCTCAGCCTCAGCCTGTCTCAGCCTCAGCCTGCCTCAGCATCAGCCTCAGAATCAGCCTCAGCCTACCTGGGCTTGCCTCAGCCTCAGCCTCAGCCTGCCTCAGCCTCAGCGTCAGCCTCTCAGCCTCAGCCTCAGCCTCAGCCTCAGCCTGCCTCAGCCTCAGCCTGCACCAGCCTCAGCCTCAGCATGCCTCAGCCGCAGCTTGCCTCAGCCTCAGCCACAGCCTCAGCCTCAGCCTCAGCCTGCCTCAGCTTCAGCCTCAGCCTCAGCCTCAGCCTCAGCCTCAGCCCTCAGCCTCAGCCTCAGCCTGCCTCAGCCTCAGCCTCAGCCTGCTTCAGCCTCAGCCTCAGTCTGCCTTCAGCCTCGGCCTCAGCCTCAGCCTGCCTCAGCCTCAGCCTCAGCCTCAGCCTCAGCCTGCCTCAGCCGCAGGCCTCAGCCTCAGCCACTGCCTCAGCCTCAGCCTCAGCCTGCCTCAGCTTCAGCCTCAGCCTCAGCCTGCCTCGGCTGCCTCAGCCTCAGCCTCAGCCTGCTCGGCCTCAGCCTCAGCCTCAGCCTGCCTCAGCCTCAGCGTCAGCCTCTCAGCCTCAGCCTGCATCAGCCTCAGCCTCAGCCTCAGCCTGCCTCAGCCTCCTCAGCTGCCTCAGCCTCAGCCTGCCTCAGCCTCAGCCTCAGCCTCAGCCTGCCTCAGCCTCAGCCTGCCTCAGCCTCAGCCTCAGCCTCAGCCTCCTCAGCCTCAGCCTGCCTCAGCCTCAGCCTCAGCCTGCCTCAGCCTCAGCCTCAGCCTCAGCCTGCCTCAGCCTCAGCCTGCCAGCCTCAGCCTCAGCCTCAGCCTCAGCCTCAGCCTCAGCCTCAGCCTCAGCCTCAGCCTCAGCCTCAGCCTCAGCCTCAGCCTCAGCCTCAGCCTCAGCCTCAGCCTCAGCCTCAGCCTGCCTCAGCCTCAGTCTCAGCCTGCCTCAGCCTCAGCCTGCCTCAGCCTCAACTTCAGCCTGCCTCGGCCTCAGCCCTCAGCCTCGCCTCAGCCTCAGCCTCAGCCTGCCTCAGCCTCAGCCTCAGCCTCAGCCTCAGCCTGCCTCGGCGTGCCTCAGCCTCAGCCTCAGCCTGCCTCGGCCTCAGCCTGCCTCGGCCTCAGCCTGCCTCAGCTCGGGCATTCAAAATATGGCACCGGACTGGCTTTCTGGGAACACGAAGATCACGAAGTGGCCTACAGTTGGCTCCGGGCATTCAAAATGTGGCCTGGGAATGTTGTTCTGGGAACACGAAGAACACGAAGTGGCCTACAGTTGGCTCCGGGCATTCAAAATGTGGCCTGGGAATGGTGTTCTGGGAACACGAAGAACACGAAGTGGCCTACAGTTGGCTCCGGGCACTCAAAATGTGGCCTGGGAATGGTGTTCCGGGAACACGAAGAGCACGAAGTGGCCTATAGTTGG